AAGTGTGTTTCTTGTATGCAGCATATTGTTGGATTTTGCTTCTTGACCCATTCTGCCAGTCTATTTCTTTTGATTGGTGAGTTGAGACCATTAATATTGATGGTTATAACTGACATGCATTGAGTTATCATTGTCATGACTTTTTCTTTTTGTTTGATCCTCCCCCTATGCTTTTAATTTGTCATGCATGGCAGATTCATTTTGCTGGGCTTCCTGGGGTTGTGATCCTCATTGTCTTTTCTTCAGATTTTGTCTAAAATTTTTTGGAATGCTGGTTTGGTATTCATGAAGTTCCTAAGTTGCTCTTTGTCATGAAAGTATCTTATTTCTTCATCAATTTTTCAGTTTTGTTTGTTTGTTTGTTTGTTTTTGTTTTGTTTGTTTTGGTACCAGGGATCAAATTTGGGACCTTCTGCTTGTGAGGCAGGCATCGGAACCCACTGAGCTAAATCCCCGGCCCTTTTCTTCATCAATTTTGAGAGATAGTTTTGCAGGGTACATCAGTCTGGGTTGGAGGTTGTTTTCCTTTAGGGCTTGAAATACATCACTCCAAGCTCTTCTTGGCTTGAGGGTTTGCATTGAGAAATCTGCTGTGATTCTGATGGGTTTTCCCTTGTATGTGATTTTTTTCTCTTCTCTAACTACTTGTAGAATTTTGTTCTGTTGGGTTTCTGGAATCTTAAGAATTATATGCCTTTGTGTAGATTTTTTTTTTGATCAAGGCTTTTTGGAGTCCTATATGCCTCACTTGTCTGTATGTCAAGTTCTTTCCCCCTGCATGGGAAGTTTTCTGCCATTACTTCTGTGAATAGTTTTTTATGTCACCTGCACTCTCTCCTGTTTCTTCTTTGACTCCAATCAGTCTTATGTTATTCTTCTTTGTATCACCTAGCAGCTGCTGGATTGATTTCTCGTCTTCCCTTACAATTTTGAAGCAATTTTTCTTTTCCTTGTCACTAATTGCAACCTTATCTTCTATATCTGAAATTTTGTCTTCACATTGGCTCATTCTGCTGCATAGACTTTCAATGGAGTTTTTAATCTTCTGGAAATGTGTCTGCATCTGATTTATGGATTCAGTTTGTTTCCTATGTTGGCATTCCATCATGTTCCTCAGCTCCTCTATTTTTTTATCTGTATCCTCTCTAGATTTATTAATCATGTCTTGCACTATGGGCACAATCTTTGCTGTCTTGTAAGAAATTATTTCTGATTTTGTTTTTTCCAGATCCTCTTTTGTTGCTAGCTCAGGGAGTCCAGGTAGTTGAGTATTAGAGTGTTTCATCTCCTTTCCCTTTGGGGTTGCTGTAGGTGATCTAGAAGTCTGGTTCTGTGCCTTATTTGTCTTCTCATTTTGATGACCATTGGTTGGGGGGGTAGGGTGGATGTGTGTTCCTGGCACCCGGGTGGCTCACCTCCTCTGGGCTTGGAGCCATGGCACACCTACCCAGAAGCTTCCTCTATGCTCGGAGCCACAGCATGCCTACTCAGAAGCCTCCTGCTGCCTGGAAGCCATGGTGCACCGATCTTGGTGAGGTACTGTTATACTGGAAGGGTGTTAGCCTGACTCCACAGGACAGAAGCCCTGTCCACCCAACCCCCCAACCAAGACCTGGCCTTATAGCTCCCTACCATTTGGCTGCGTCTGAACCATGTCTTGTATAATAAAACCATAATTGTAAGTATAGCTGTCCTGAGTTCTGTGAGTCATTCTAGCAAATTATTAAACCTAAGGGAAGTGGCTGGTAACCCTGAATTTGTAAGCATCTAAGTAGAAGTGGGGTGGCTAGGGGACACCCAGGACTTGTGGCTGGAGTATGAAGTGCAGACATTGTTGTGGACTTGAGTCTTTAGCCCATGGAGTCTAACTCTGGGTAGTGTCAAAATTGAACTGGATTAGAGGACACCCAGTAGCTACAGAACTACTTTTTGTTACATACTTGGAGGCTTCACCCATTGCCTAGAGTTTAGGAGTATTTCAGCAACTGTCAGAGCTGTAAAGTAGCTGAGATCACCCACTTGCTCTGCCAGTGAGGACACTGAGAGGAGAATGACCTGACTGCCCGCCATGGACCATGCTGCTAAGGCTAGAGCTGGGAGCCGGATTCCACCACAGCATCTGCTGAGTTGCCAGCATTCCCAAGCCAAGCATGGGTCCTACACTCAGCCTCTGAGCTGTAATACAGACTCCAATTCAAAGCACCAGTGGATCACAGTGCTCCACACACAGAAGGGGGTCAGTGTCGTAGAAAGAATGAAACGGAGTTCTGACCTTGAAGAGTTGAAAGATTGAGTGAAAAACTCCCAAGAATAAACTTCTCAAAAACATGTAACTCATAGGTGGTAGAGCAGCACACAGGAGCTTAAACATAACAAATAAAAAGGGACATCTGTATTCCGAGGAACTAGGTGACCAGGTCATCTGCTGCCCTTTAAACCCACAAAAGGAAATACTGGTTTCACCTGCTCCTGGCCCTGCCAATGGAAGTACAGAGGGCCTCAAACCCTGGGCTGTGCAAGTGAGGCTCAATTCTCCACTTTCCAACTCGGTAGTAATAAGGGGATCAACTGAGCACAAAGCTCAAATTGTGAGACAGCCCACGCAGATTGCAACAGCCTTACTTCATGAAAGCTGTGGACTGGTCTTTTCTGCCATGTGCAGGTTGCCCAGGGTTAACTGGGGCTAACTCGGCCCTAGTGATCATTCTAATGGGTTCAACTATTGGCCAAGGGTACCGCTACAGTCCCAAGTTCAAAACGGGGCAGTCCTGTCACCCAGAGCAGGGAGCACCACTCAGTACTGTGTTACATTCCAGTTCTCGCACCTGTAAGCTGTCTCCTCTCAGTGTGGAGATGAGAAGGCAAGTGGGTTATCTCAGGTGTTCTAGACAGAGGGGCTGCAAGGCTGTGTTTGGACAACTGTGAAGGGGGAAGAAGTGGGCATGTGTGCCAGCTGATTTCCCAGAGAAAGCACTAGCTTGTGCATCAGCAGCTAGACCTCCCATCAGCTCTCATGCTCTCCTCACTGTCTTCTATGAAAGGCTCACACACACAAGGCGACTTAGCGCAGGGTGTGTAGGCAACTGCAGGGGCCTCTGAATCCTTACAAGCTGAATGCACAACTTTACACACACATCCCTTTATAAACTTTCTCTACCTTCCCTCAGATTCTCAAAAAGGGTCTCTACTCCAAAGAGCTTTAAGTTTAAGCGAGCAAATGTGCCCATGTGGCACACCCAAACCAGGTGCGTGCTGTGTGGAGCACGTGCTTCCCTTGCACTGTGCCTGTGGACTTTGGCTCAGAATCTTCTCGGCCAATGTTTCTCAGGTGAGACCATTAATGGCCTTTTGCATTTCAATCAGTGGAGGAAAAATAAAAGCATTAAGGTGTCTTTAAGGATAAATAATAAAACTTGGGTACTTCATTTTTGTCCGAATTCAATTCTTTGATTATTAGCCCAACTCAGTCTTTCTAACCTTGGCACTACAGATGTGGGCCACATCAAGCTGTCTTTTGCACTGTCTGAAGCTCAACAATAAGCCTGGTCTGGACCAAACCATCCTCAGACATTGCCATAGTGGGGCAGGACTGCCCCCCACCTGAGAAACCCTCACATGGCTGAATAAGGTTCTATACACATCTTCTGTGCTGCCACCCTCATATGGACTCTGTGTTCACGTATTCGGCATGGTTACAGTCAGAGGCCACAGGAGGGAGTGTTGCACACACGACCGTGGTTCCATGATGCCATGCCCCAGTGACATGTCAATCTAGGTACACTCTGGTGGTCACTGTCCCATCCTGACGATGTGAGCAGCTGTGTCTGGGCTCCATGTCTCTCACGGCATTTGGTTTTAGAGTGACGAGAAAGAAACCAGGCAAGTGGGCAATGTTTTAGAAGATCATGGGCATCCCCGTGAGGGCAGTGGATGGGGGCAGCTAACTCCTGCACTGCTGGAGGCAGCAGGGGGCTGAAACCCTTTCAGAAAGCACTTGGGCAATTGACACTGGGTGCCAAGCTGAACCTGCAGGTGGTATCTTGCAGAGGAAATAATCCAAAATAATTGTAAATGATGAAACACTCTGGAGCTATATGAATTTTTTATATAATGCAAGTAAGTGAAAAATACAGTTATAATTTTTTATAGTTACAGCAATTACATAAGAAAAAAATCCTATGACTTGGAAGGACTGAGCAACTGTCAGTCAAGGGGGAAACGTCAAACATGTGAGAGCTGGGGTCATGGGTGGTGGCGCTCTCTGAGTTCCCACACTGCTATTTTATTGTTTTTATGACCGGAAGAACAGTGGGAAAATAAACAGCTACAAGTTTATTCTCTACCTGGTAAATTGGTTTTTACTATCCTCCCAAAGGATTTTACTCACTGATTATGAAAGTATTCTGTTCTCATTGCAGACATTTGGGAAAACACTGTAAAGCTTCAAGAAAATAAAGCACCCACAATGTCGTCATCAAGTAATAAATTCTGTTAATATTTTGCCAAAATGTCTTTTAGTGTATAAGTTTGACCTAGCCCACATCTGAGCAGTTCTAGAACTGATTTTTAAAGGAATTAGACTGCTAGCTTAACTAGCACACCTGCACTTTATAGAATTTTAAGGTATGTTGAATTTTATGGTATGTTGAGCAATTCACTTCCCGCTGAGAACTGCTGTGTATGCATAAAAGAGTTTCTTCTCTCTCCTCTCTCTCTCTCTTTCTCTCTCCTTTCTCCCTCTCTTTCTCTCTCTTTCTCTCTCTCTCTCCTCTCTCCCTCTCTCTCTCTTCTCTCTCTCTTTCTTCTTTATTTTGTATTATGAACCCTGCTGGCTGACACTCAGCCCATTGCTTCTGAAGCACTTGCCAGCACTTTCAAAATCAAATTCATAATTCCTAAAGGACATGAACCCCAGAAAGATTCTGCCTTTTGTCCTGCATACACCATGAGTTCTGTGCTCTGTGACAGGACAAGCAAGCCCACTGGACTTAGCGTCAGCCTTTGGCTGCACTTCCCAGGGCTGGGACTTGGAGGTACTCACAGGTCATAGGAGAACTTCCTCTCTAGGTTGGTCTGGTTTCTCTGGAACTGGAACACGTCCTGCTGCAGCCTGCCGTAACTCCTCTGCAGGGCCTTCAGCTGGTCTGTGCCAAAGAAAGGACACCTCACCCAAGTCATCAAAACATGCCAAGTCAGACTCACATGTCAGACCACAAAGGGGAAAGGAGGGAGCAGAGATGAGAGGAGACACCCTAGCCCCTGCCACCCCATACCCGGCAGGCTGAGGACCACCTAGGAACCTGATCTTCATTGTTTTTCAAATGTTTGCCAAATCTCCTTGACTGCCAACCCTTAAAATGTGCTAGGAGGTCTACATGTCTGCTTTTGTCTTACAGCAAGCCCTGAGCTGTCCCTGGAAGCCACTCCCCTGTCTGTGTCCCTCACCCGCAGCCGCAGCCGCCTTATCCTGACTTGGACATTTGAGCCAGTCCCCAGCCCTGCAAGGGGACACTTTGCCCTGGCACTGACTCACCATGCACTATTCCTCACAGCCCTGTGCTCCCTGGATGCCCCTACCCTCTCCCCAGGGCAACAGCAGCTTCCTGGAGAAAACTCATCATCCCCACCTCTGCTCTGACACCTCTGCTCACAAAAGCTCTGCAGAGACCAGCAGCGGATATCAGGCCAGGCTGGGCAGAAGGCAAAGTGGTGACAGCAGCCCACCAGAGAGGGGGACAAGAGCAAGCAGAGGCCAGACAGCCTTGGACGTCCCTAGTGTTTATGCTTACACCCTAGACTGACAAGACGGTTGGGGTGGGGCTTCCAGGAACCACTGATGTACTCAGCAACATGGACCAATCTCAGAAGCATCGACAGAGGACATCTCAGCAGTGCCTGAGAACAAGGTGAGTGGCAGCATGAGTGTGAAGGGTTAGCACCGAGGGCTGTGTCGAGGGGCACGGCCTGGAGTGAGCACTGCAGTGGTGGTCTGTGAGACTCACACCCATCAACATGAGCCAAAGTGTGCTCTGCGAAGGGCAAACTTTGCTGTGTATGGTACACTTTAATAAAGACAGAATCCACAATCAGACTAAGTGCGGGCAGTGGACCTGCTCAGCAAGAAAAAGAAGCACACTGGTGCTACCCATGCAGCTCGGATGAATCTTGTAATTATGCTGAGTGAGAGAAGCCAGACAAACAGTGTATATATGGTTTGATTCCATGCAGATTATAACTGTGGGAAATACAAACTCATCTACAGATTAGCAGCAGATCAGAGGTGGTCTGCAGGGTGGTACAAGCCAACTTTGGAAGCTGATAAACCAAACATGATAAACCAAATCTCATTTGCTCTTACTGGTATTTAGAGCCTGACCTGCAATAGACCAGTGGTGCCCAGCAGAACTGCAAACCACATGGGAAATTTGTACTTCCTAGCAACCACAGTGCTAAAAAGTAAAACCAGGTGGAATTTTCTAATACATTTTATGTAACCTGATAGAAAATGTTACCGTGCCCATGTATACTGAATGTAAACATTTTGAACGAGATTTTAAAAATTCTTCTCTAGGCTTTGAAATGTCATGTATATTTTACAATCATAGAACATTTCCATTCAGTTGTTAGATTTTCATTGGATTTTGTTCTTTTACAGTCCTGGGGACTGAACCCAGGGCCTTCACACTCAGCTATATCCCCGTCCCTTTTTATATTCTGAGACAGGGTCTCACTAACTCACTAAGTGGCCCAGGCTAGGCTTGAACCTTTGATCCTCCTGCCTCAGCGGCCCAGATGAGCTAACAAGCACACCTCACCACAGCCAGCTTATTAGAAATTATTAATTGGATTCAGACTTAATAAAATTTACAATTAAGAAGTAAATTAGTACACATATATTGTGCCAAACATACTTAAGATTCCCAATAACTGAGTCAAGTATCAGTTTTAAATTCATATTACTGAAAACTTAAATGTCTGGTCCTTCTTTTCTACTAGCCGTGCGTCAGGCGCTCACCAGCCATCGGGGCTTCTGGCTGCTGGGGCTCATGGAGCTTCCTGCCCAAGACCAGAGCTCCCTTTGCTGTGTCCTCGGCCACACCAGACCCCACTGGCCCTCCCTGAGGACTTTGCCCTCCACCGTCCCACCACCAGAGGAAAATGAATCCTGAGCTACCACATTGGACTCTAGCAGCAAAGAAAGAATTAAACTGGGCTGGACAGTCTTTCTAAATTTCATGAAGAAAATCCAAGTTCAGACAACCCATTAAACCACCCACATACCCTCCACATCTGTCAGCTCACACGCACCTCACACACAGCTGTGCACCCCCATCAGAACGCTGGGAAGCAGAGGCGTTTCCAGTTGCTTCAGGTTTGGAGTATTTTCTGTGGTATCTCAGGAGTGTAAACATGAGGTCCATGCAAGCTTCATGTACATACACCTTATATACATGGCCTTAATGGGGTTTTTCTAACATGTTTGGTAAATTTGTGCATTTTTACTGTGACTCATCAACTGAGTTCAGGTGTGCGATTTTCTAGTTGTGGCATCATGTTTATGCTCAGGAAGTTTCAGATTTTGAAGCATTTTGGATTCTTACAAGGATTCTCATGTTTGGATTAAGGATGCTCAACCTATGTAATTTTTTTGACACTGCTGAGAATCAAACCCAGGGTCTTGCACATGCTAGGCAAGCACTCTGCCACTGAGCTGTACCCCAAGCCCAGTATTTCTCATCCAAGTTATAAATGAGAGTCGAAATCCTGTGCCTTACGCGTTCTGCAGTACATTCACTAACATTGTTAGAGGCAAAATGTTTTAAGGAAATATACAGCTGGACATGAAGAGCACATGAAAGACTGTCAGTTGCATGGCCCACATCTGTAGTCAGCTACTCAAGTCCATCCTGCTCAACTTAGCAAGATCTCATCTCAAAATGAAGTTTAAAAGGTGCTGGGGATGTTGCTTAGCATATGCAAAACCCTGGATTTGATCCCCAGTGCCTCGCAAAAAATAAGTTGCTGTTACTCCTAACAGTGCCCATCATGGGCATCAGGGCGCCAGAAGAGCTTCATAGAGAGCAAGACCTGGGAGTGGAACGAAGCTTACCTTGCAGGTCTCTGATGATCCTCTCGCTTGTGGTGATGTTGTTCACTAAAGCAGCCTGCAAGGAAACAGACACACTGTGAGGCACCATGCCCAGCTGGGAAAGAAGACAGGAATAGCCCTCCCCAGACCGAGCAGCGCCAAGGGGGCTGCCCGTTATCTGCTGCCGCCTTGTAACCTACATAAGGCGCCCAGCTCCCCTCCAACTCAGGCAGCAGGTCCCAAGGCCACCTCCTCATCAGCACCAAACTCTGAGACCAGGCTGGCACATGGGGGACAGGGGACTCCTGGCTCCTGCACGGAGTCTGCAGACGTGGGGACGAGGAGGCACACACCAGGGGTTACATGAGCGGGCAAACCAACCGCAGAGAGAGAAGCAACAGAACCAGAAAAAACACTAACAATAAAGGCGAAAGGAAAGAGCCCCACTGAGGGCCTTCAGGCTGATGCAGCACCATCTGCGCACCTTGCTCCATCCACCCATCCTCACAACAGCTGCATCAAGTGGGCAGTGGACACTGTGGCACAGCTTGCCTTCGTGGCTCAGAGTCCAGTATCCAGCGAGAGGTGAAGCCCACAGCAGCTCCCGCAGGCTGCTCTTGAGAACAACACTCGGAGACCAGCTACCAACCCACCAGGACCGGACATGACACCCACTGACTGGACAGGGCCTGTGACACTTGAGGAGGGCATTGGGAGAGAAATCTAAATAGCAGTACAGCTGAGGTTCATCGACTGGCGGGAGATTTTCCAGAGGGTGTTTATTCTGCAAGGGCAGAGCAGAGACTGGGAAAGGACAGGACAGCCTGTTCAGTGGGATCAGATTTATACAGCCTGAACTTGGGCTACCCCTGGGAAGAGTGTAGATGTTCAGCTGAAAAGACCAAAGATTTCCCCAGGATCCCGCAATCCCATTTCTACAGATCCAAAATAAATAAAATCAAAGCTGGCTCCCCAAGATACCTGAACCTCACATGCCCTGTGGTTAGTCACATGAGAGACCCTGAAGTGGCCATGATAGATGAATGGGTAAACACCATGTGACACATACACAAAGGGGACTACCATGCAGCTCCTGAAAAGAAGGAACTCCTGACACACCACGTCACAGATGGCAGGAAAGGAAAATGCTCCATGGAGCCCACTTGTACAAGGATCCTGAAGGGCTGGGCATCATGGAAATGGCAGATGAAAGGCAGTTTCTTGGGGTGGGCGGGGTGGGGTGAGGAAGAGGGCCTCAGGGTTTAGGGGGTATAGATTGAATCTTAGCAACAGAAGATGAAAAAGTTCTGGAGACCCACTGGACAACACCGTGAGCAAATGTCAGAGCACCGAGCTGTACACTTACACTACTGTGCTACTTTGCCTTAGAGTAAAACAGGGAAAGAACACTTCACAGCTCCACAGTTGACGTCCCCGGGTTACGTAAGTCATTCCTACAAAACTACGGCAGATCCTTCTTGCCATTCGTGGAAGCCATGGGCAGGCACCCCTGTCACCCTGTTACAGTCGGCACATTACCTCTGGCGTGGGAAAAATACTGAGGGACACTTCACTTGTTCCCTTTCCTTTCCCTCAGCCTCTCCTCAGAAAACCCACATTAGTTTGCAACTACCTGGGGGTTAGGAGTTGATGCAGTGTGAAATATCTGAAGATATGTCTGTTTCTATGGACTTTATTCTCCCAAAGAAAATACATTTTTATCTCCCCCCATCTACTTGTTGTAACTATGCAAATGCTTCCCAACTTCTTTTATCTTCTATATATTATTCTAAAGAAGAAAACAAAAACCTGTATTCAACAAAGTTATTTTTAAAGGACTGAATACATTCCATTCTAAACAATCAGGCTGTTCTCCACACTATGGTGCACAGCATCTGTGGTGGTGGGAAGGGACAGTGCGCGCACGTGTGAAGTTCCCCCCAAAACACAGAGAGGCAGGAAATGCCCCCAGGACTAACCGGGGAGTGCACAGAAAGACAGAGGAAGGCTCACCCAGCAACAAGTCCACTATTTCTGTATTACATTCCGAGAAAAATAAGCTTAGTATTTCACAGAAATTCTGAGTCACAAGTCCACATTGCCACTTGTTTGCTTGTTTGTTTGTTTGTTTGTTTGAGACAAGGTCTCCAGGCTGGTCCAGTGCAGGGATCATAGGCATGCACTACCACACCCAGACATGACCACGTCCTAAAAGCTCAGTAAGATATAAACAACTAGTTTTTAAAATAATAACTTTCAAAAAGTTCACCTGGAACACAATGCTGGCTGCAGCCTGAGGAACAGAGGGCAGCTGTTATTACTGTACAGTAGTCCTGGCGCATGAACACTTGAGATGTGGCCTTTTACAGGGCTTGTGTAAGACTCACTTTGTCAGATTTGGGAACAAATCCAACTTCTCTGAGAATGGAACTCGTTCGTAAGTCAGGGACTTACTGTATTTCTTTGGTTTATGAAAATAATCAATGTGCTCTGAGGATGGGTTCTACCTTCACTTTAAATCTTACTTGAAAAGGACCGGGCTTCTGTCTAGGTGCATCAGGAGCCTCTGCAAGTTCTCTGTAGTGAAATTCCTGATACAAATCCTCAAAACCAAAAGCTAATCACAGTCACCTGAGAGCAGGGTAAGGTCAAAGGCAGAACTGTCAAGTGTTCCAAGAGTCTTTTTACCCCTTACCAATCTAAAATCTCCCAGAGCACTGCCACCCAAAGGAGACAAAACAGTCATCTACAGATGTTTACACTGATCTAGTAGCTGGGCTGGACCTGGGGCTCAATGTACAGGACTGCCTGGCACGCATGCGGGCCTGACTTCATCCCCAGCACCCTCAAAAAATAATATATATATTTTTAGTAGCCACATTCAATTATGAAAAATAAACAGGTTGGGCAAAGAATCAACAATTCTCTAAAGACAGATAAAAGATGCCCGACATCCGCAGTCATCAGAGAAAGGCAAATCAAAACAAGAAGGCGTCACTTCACTCCCAGTATGGCGACAGTTCAAAAAGAAAACAGCAAATGCTGTTGGATGAGCATGGAACAGCTGGAAAGAAACCAGCCCTTCACACACAGCTGCTGAGGATGTGAACTGTGCCGCTTCTGTGGGACAGTCTGTTGCTTCTCAAAAGTTAGACACTGAGTTACAGTCCTGCGCCTAGAAATGAAAACACATCACACCAAACCTGCTCACAAACATGCACAGCAAAGCTGCTCATGGCGGCCACAACAGCAGGAACAACCTGCAGGCTACAAACAGATGGACAGGTAAGTAAGTAGAATATGGAGTATCAGGCAGCCATGAAGAGGACGCTGTGCTGGCACGTACCACAGTATGCATGGGCCTGGGCGAGCTTTGTGCTCCTGACACTCAGACACAGGAGGCTGCTTGCTGTGCAGCTTCACAGACACGAGTCTGAAACAGACAAGCATGCATAGGCAGCGGACGGTGACCACAGGTGGCTAGGAGGAGGACGGGAGCAGGGCTTTGTGGGCCCCTCTTCCTCCTGGGTGATGGAAGTGTCCCGGAGTGGGGCAGTGGTGACAGGCGCATGGCTGTGGCTGCTCAGAGACCACTGTGCTCTGGGGCCCCTCTGCATGGTTAGCAGGGCGAATGGCAGGGGTGCAAACTGTGTCTCCGTTAGGAAAAAAACAGGCGAAGTTCATAGTAATGGTTTACTCACCCAGCACACCCAGTTACATAAAAACTATGATGGAACATTCTATTTTTTACCGAAGTCTTTGACTCTAGCACATTTTCCACTGAATAGCTCTTTGAACTCCAGCACACCTCAGCCTGGGCATCTGACAGCCTGACAGCCAGGACAGGGCAGCGCCTGAGACTGGAGGATGAGGCCACAGCAGGGTGATGCACAGGTGCCTCCCTCGACACCTCAGCAAGTCGGGCCGGCAGTGCAGAGGACACTGTCCCCACAGAGAAGAGGGACAGCACGGGGCGAGCAGCACGCTCCCCGTGACTGTGTGCATGGCTGGAGAGCAGGCCGGACTGGGCACTTCATGCCACAAGACCACAGCTCTTGGTGGCAGCAGTCCTGTGGCTGTTCAGAGTGAGCAGGGACCACCTCCTGGGGCCCTGTCACCACTGCACAGGTGCCTGGTGCCATGGACTGCACGCCCAGGTCGCCCACCCCACCCAGCCCCAGACGCTGCCAGACCAGAAACACAATGCACGGGCTGCTGGCGGCTGACGTGGTAGATTGTTTCCAGCAAACTTTTTTTTTATAAATAAATGAAATGCATTAAAATTATTGGTAAACAGTAGAGTCACAGTTGTTGATTATCAAGTATTGTGCACTGCACGAAACTGTTGCAATTTTTGTTTTTTGTTCTTTTGAGACAGGCCCTCACTATGGTAGTAGGCTGGCTGTGAACTTGATACAAAGCCAAGCCTAGCCTTGAACTCACAGCCCTCCTGCCTCAGCCTCCTGAGTGCTGCTCACAGGTGTGTGGCATGACAGCTTCCCATTACTCTACACAACCATATGTGCTACACTGCGACATGACTGGCAGCACAACAGGTGTGCTTACACCAGTGTCATCACAACACATGAGTAACGACTGAGATGTTCACTGACTATAAGGCGACAGGAATTTCTCCACCTCATTACAATCTTATAGGACCTTGGTATACACCGTCCCTGATGGGACTGAGAGCTGGCACCCTGCTGCCCGGACAGGACATCCGGTTCAAACAAGGCAGGTGGCAATCACTGACACCTCACGGTGGATCCACGGAGCTGGTGCGGTCAGTCTGCCATGCATACTTCTAATTCCCGTGGTCAGTCTCCACAGCTACCCACACACACCCCTACCTTGATGATTAAAAATTAAGTCAGAAGAAACTTGAGTCTACTTTAAGGCTGCTTTTAGAGGGAAAGAAAGATGAATTAGAAAATACACAGATAATCTTTTGTTTTCTGAATGAAAAAACGTTCAAGGACTTCTAGAAATACTCACTGGGGTCGGGGGTCGAAGCCAAGGTACAGTGCCTGCTAAGAGGACTCGGCCCTGGGCTCAAATCACTGCACCTGGGGAGGA